CTGATTGGGTTCAAAATTACAAGGCTACTGAGTTGAACATTAGTAGTCGTAAACCCATAAAATTGGGTTGGCTGTTCAACGATGGTTATAGAATAAAATAATTAATACTAGAGTTCCTCTGCCTTCTGTGTTGAGTTAAAAATGATAAGGTAATATGGACCAGCTTTTCAAGGCTGATAATAAAATGAAATGAAATAAAATAAAATAAAAATACTGCCGGATTCCTTATTCCATCCTAAAAGTCAGATGCCTATAATGTGAAAAAACATCTGCATGTCCGACAATTCATCGCTTCAAAATAAAACGCAACTTCTCTCCATGAGTTCTTTCTTTGGTGGAATATCAATGACAGAACACGGATAAATAAATATGGAGACCTTATAGAGATTCTTTTGTGTAAGATTTCCCGCTGTGATTTTGAGAGTGCACCACCCTTAGGCGGGAGGTCACTTTTCTCTTCAATCAGGGGTGAGGGGTTGTGTAGTGGGAAAAGCCTTAGTTCTGATCTCACGGATTAATCCCACATCCGTTTTCTCAATGGATGCGGGCACCTCTTCCGTGAGTTAGGAAAAATTTTAATAAAGAAAAAACAGTACTGTTAGGCAATGACACAGCACTGTTGAATATCTGAAATTCAAAATTTAACTTTATTTCAGACAATTCTGTAAAAACAAAATTTGAATGTTAATTCGAAATATCTTTTATGAAATAGAAATTAATGTTTGTATTACAATTTTCAATTTTGATTACTGAAAAGTAATCAAAAAAGCATTAGTACATGATTCATTAAAAATTCATCATTTTGAAAAAAATTGAAAAAACAAATTTCGTTAAAATAGCTGCAAACTTTAGCTAAATGCATCGAGGTATTATATTATGTTCGACACATTATATTTTTCGTTAATCACAGTCGAAAAACAGTTAAAATTGCAGATTTTAAGTGAAGTATTTCAGTTCATAAACTGAAAATAAATTCCTTTCTTACATCAATTTTGATCACTTTATTTATGTGCTGTCAATGAAAACATAGAAACTCTTTGATTAAATATGAAAAAAAAAACCCAACTTTTTTAAAATTTATTTTATGAATCAAGCTTATTCGTATTTTTGTTGCATCGTGAAGACAAAGATGTAAATCTCAAAAGGCTGGTAAGTCTGATGGTAATTAGGCTCTAACTCCTGACCCATGAGAATATTTTATGCCATCACTGAGGTCAGTGTAGGCCCTATATAGTCTTTCAATGTATTTTTGGTGTAGGTATCTTTCATCTATATTTTCAGGATCCTTAACATGAATGAAATCATATAGACTTATCCATTAGGGGGTTTCAAATTAGCATTTATATGAGAAGAAAAATCATAGTGGTATCATAATTTCTTTAATGTAATACTTATAATGTTTAATTGTATGGTATTAAATACATTGTTGTTGTTGTTTCTAATGCCACTTGCCATACGGGCAAGCCTGCGTTTCTTGTTTTTCAGTGGTGCTATCTATGGCCAAGAATTTGGCATCTGCTATACTCGTTAATAAGGCGGACTCATTCATGCATTCATCCACAGATCGTAATTTTGNTGGTGAAGCCGAGCAAATTTAAGGCAGAGTGTGCGTTTCTTGCTTTTCAGTGGCTCCACCTACGGCCAAGAATTTGACTTCTGCCACACCATACGTCGCACCCGTTTATAGGGCGGACCCATTCATACATCCATTCATTCATCCACAAATCGTAATTTTGACTGAATCAGAGAACGATCGATCTCCAATCCAGTACCCCCAGAGGTATCGATTTGATATGGGAACATGGAGGACTTTTGCGACTCGACAGATTTAACTTGCATTAGTCACATTACTACACGTGGAGTCTTCGGCCGGCGGGGTTAACTCTCGGACATGGGCCCAGTGCCCTACCGACCAGGCTATCCCGGCCATTAAATAAATTAATGCCAGTTAATTTGTCTGAATGAGTTGAAAAATGTTCGTAAACAATTTTATTGGTTAAAATAATTAGGAAAGTGAAAACAATATTTACCATAATAAACTAAATTCAATTTTAGGTGGGAATAATGTTATGCTTTAATTATTACTTTTGGAAACCGTAGCTGCTTTTATAATTACCAAAACTTGAAGGACACATTACGTAATTGTACACTGAAAAAAAGTATGGTCAAAACTACCAGAAAAGAGTGAAATTTACTGTGTTTCTCTCTATATAGGAGTACCAAAAAATTCGGTAAGTTTTACCGTAGTGTTACGATAATTATTTTTTTCAAAATTAACAATAAAATGTGGTTTTATTATCTGTGATAAAATTTGGTAATTTTATCATGATTGTTTAGAGCATAACATAAAAACCATTTATACGAGTAAATTTACTTTTCTCTTTTGTATTTTTAATGCGTGGTAATAAGAAATATAATTTTGAAAACCAGGAATTCCGTCAATCCGTTACCATATGAACGGAAAAATTCCCAAATGCATTGTACAGTACACTGTATTAAATACAGTATACTTTGGTTTTATTTACCAGAATTATATTGTTTTTTCTTCCTCAATGATCATTACAATACAGTACGCCACTTTTACCATAGTTCTCTTCGCCGTGCATGTTCTCTATTAAAAGTCAAATAACTTAGGCGTGAATCGTTTTATTTTATCGTAGTAAATATTGTTGCTGTGATAAATATTTCGTAATTGAATATCTAAACTAAATCTTTCGTGCAGGATTTAACTAATTCTAAACTATCTGCGTTTTCTCTTTTATTTTTTTAGTCGAAGTGATTGTAAGTCGTACGCGCAGAACAGTTAAAAAAAAGCAGTTCATTTAAAAAAAAATATTATTAAAACTAAAGCACTTCTTCAACATGAGAATGTACTCAACTTAAATTCGAAACTGTTGTTGCGACCCAATAAAAATAAACAAGTTGTTGTTTTATGGAAACAAAGAGAGATTTTTGTTTCTAAAGAAACAAGTTTTTTTTAAAGGCGAATAACTTTTCAAGAAAAATAATAAAATAAATAGCAAAACAAAGAAATCTTTATTCTCTATTTTTTAATATGCTATTAACTTAAAGTTCAATTAACTGAAAAATCTTGATGAGTCCTTGAATCCAGAGAATGAAATGATTTCAGACATTTTTATCAAATAACAAAAGGGTGAAAACACTTTTCGAATCAAAACTGTCTTAACTCTTTACAGTCACTGCATTCTTTAGTCATATTTTTATTCCAGCAGAGAATTTCCGTCTGTTCTAACAAAAGAACGGCTTTCATATTAACATTTGAAATGTTCAATTCAAATTCAATTTAGTTGTATTCAAATACTACTTGTTTATCGATTGTTCAAAAAGATTTGATCCAATCTTTTATTTGCATTTATAGACGGTTGATATTAAAATTCAAAGCAGTTCAATACCTTTGAATGCAAAACTGTTCAGCCATTTGTAAATCAAATAATAATAAAAAAAAATAAATAGTTAATGAAAAAAATTGTGATACAAGTTTTTATCTACATCGTAAAAAATTCCAGTCCAAATTACGGTAAAATCCACTTTTTCGGAGCATGTTACTAATCAAAAATCTGATATTCAGCAATTTTTACTGTAATAATTTCCGTAAAATCTCTGAATCCCACTAATTAAATATATTTTACTGTAAAATTTACGGTATAATATTTTACGGAAAAAATGGATTTTGCTGATGATGCATTCAAAGAGCAGGTACTTTATACTGTAATTTTATCCAGAATTTCTTACAGTGTAGGAATAGATGAATTTCACAATTGATTGCAATAGTTCTTTGATTCACGTTATTAGTTTCAGAAATATGATTTAGTTGTTTAATTCATGGGTGGTATATTCGTAGCTTAATTCATAGCACTATGAATTAAGTTACGAAATCAAATATTTAAAGAGTCCATTTTAAACCAATACGATTGAAATGAAATGAAATAAAAAAATGAAAATCCGATCAGTAGATTGAAAAATATTTATGTTCATATTTATTTTTTATTATCTTTACAGTTCATTTAATTCCATTGTCTGTACAGTTCATTTAATTTTATTATCTGTACAGTTCATTTAATTTTATCACCTGTCTTGAACAACATGTACTATATCATTGTTCCACTCCGCAATCTTATAACTTTGTGTAATATTCAGAAGGCAAACAATCTTCTGGATTATTAAGCATTGGAACAAACTCGACTTGGTGGTCGTCGTCTCATTTGAGTTAAACTAAACCATATTTGCGTAACTAGATTGTGTGAACCAGATTCTACTAAACAGAATGACCATGAATGATTGTCGGGGTCTATTTACACTATTAAAAATTTTTTTGAGTTCGTATTAAGTGTATGCATAGTTGTTAATCTGGTAGAAATTCATTTTTGTTTGACGAACATAATATAGGGGAAAATAAAATCATATCTACAATTTTTGAATAGCGCTATTTGTGATACATCTACTTAAACACAATTTGTAAAATATTATTAAGAATTTTATAGACCTCCAAAACCTATTTACTTCAGTAAGTATGGTTCTTTACTGAACGAGCTAAAATATAGGACTGCAATGGGCCAAAAAAATGCGGCGAAAAATATTATTTACAAATTTATGAAGTACAACACAGAATTAGTAAGATTTTAATGTCCTGGAATCCCTCTAAGTAAACTAATTAATTCAAACGGTTTAATATTATTCCCCTTATAATTTAAGACAAAAAAAAATTCCTGAAATAGTTTGCAAATATTTTTATTTGGGGCACATTTTTTTTAATATTTTTTATTTTCAGACATGAAAAATAATATTTACTGTACTCTTAAGAAAGCCAATCAATCCAGTGATGTTTCTTTTAGCCTTTTACCTTCTTTTTTTTAATGAATATTATAAACAGAACTTTCTCCCGCCAAAAAAACAAAAAGCAGAAAGGGATGCTAAAAAGAAAAGAAAGAATCACGTGACTTTTCCCCCCTCCTCTCCTCTCAACACTTGAACATCAACTCGCACGATGCGCAAAAGTTGCCGGGAAAATGAGAAAACGCCGGTGAGTTTTTGGTTCGGCGACTTCGAATCAGAGCGTCCGTCGACGCCGGTTAAAGCACTGAAAAAGGAAACTTCATCCCGAAAAGTTTTCAACCACTCCCCCCTAAACAGCACTTAGCCGGAATGATTTCTAAAGTGTCCGGTCGTCTCCCGGATTTCTAGTAACTTGATAAACGTTCCATAGATTATTCGATTTCCCAGTGATTTAGTTCTATGTATATCCCTCCCCCTAATGTTGGGGAAATAAATGGAAAACGTGGGAAAAAAAAGAACAATCGAAGCAGACGATCCAAGTGAAAATCGTTTGACATTTGTGTAGGCATAATCTGCTTTAGTGTTTTGTTTGTTGATAGTAACTTTTCCTTCCCGATGGATGCTTTACTTGGTCTGTTTTAGTAAAGAGCTTTGCTTGAAAAAAATTGTTTTCGGAAGACTAGAATATCAAGCAGTTTTTTAGGTAAGTTATTTCCTCCCTTCAATACACTTAAAATAATTCTTTTTGAACTTGAAATAATTTTTTATGGATTTGAATTTATATTACATATTAAAAACCGGTAGCTTTAAATTTGCATAATTTCGAATACAAAAACTTGATTTGATTTATTTAAATTTACGATTTTTGGAATAAAAATTTTGTTTGTTATAAACGTTCTAAATTAAAATCAATTAATCGTGACAGTTTTGCTATCCATGCTATAAGTTTTTAAATTGTGCAAACTTAAAAAAATTCGTGGTGACGTAAGTAAATTTAATTAAAATTGTTGATACTTTAAATGATTTAATTGTAATTGCTGACTTCATCATTTAGCTATCAGTCTTTGTTTAATTTTTTGTTTGTTTGTTTATCTAATGCGTTTTACGTATAGGCATAGGTGAGGGGAGGGCGGTGTGTACATGACCCTCACAGTAATTAGAAATCTTTTAAATCTCTAAATATTTCTGACAAAATAACGAAAATTTTCATGATTCATCATCAAATTGAATTCATCAAAATTAAAAACAAGAAAGCGATAAAAAAATGATCTTTTTGAACACATTTAGCAGATGTAATAATTTGTTTTTCGTATGTTCGAGAACTATTGTGGCTAAACTAAAAAGCCTACTTTTTTAAATGTTGAAAACATATCTTATTATTATTAACATTATTATTTATTTATTATTTTAAAATAAGCAATTTAAAGTGTATGCATGAGCTATTTTTAATTTTTTTAAACATAAAACATAGTTTGCGTATTATAGACAAAAATATTTTTGCTGTTGAAATTTTCGGTAATTTTTTAAACTTTTGCTGCATTATAAATTCTAAGCTATGAAATACATTATAATTTTTAATTCAGCTCCAAAATATATTTTCTTTCCTTAAATATATTCCACCTATTGGACTAGCCGGTAACTCTTGAAATATCTATAATTGATAAATTTTTAGTATTATGATTAAGAGAAGGCAAACGTTAAAATCGCAAATAATATATTTAATAAAAAAACCTAGAAGCGTTTCATCTCAATATGATGCACCTTTAGCAGGATAACATAGTAGGCTATAACAAATAATTTATTAAATATATTATTTTTGATTATGTATTAATAAGAATTAGCTGAACATTGAAACTTTATTATTTATTAAAACCTAGATTAAACTTACAGACTATTTAACTCTGCTAAACCTTATAACCTTATTATTGTTTAATGCTTTTGTTATGTCCTGTTACGCTATCCTACTACATTTTGCACTAAAATGCATCTAAGTTTTAATAAATATAGTATTTGTAATTTTTTGTTGTCTTCACTTTATAATAATACCACTTACAATTATCTTACACATGATTACACTCTAAAAAATTCAGGTTCAAATGACGGTATAAAGTACCGGCACTTTGGGTGCACTATCCTTAAATTCCATAAATTTACCGAAAAATTCCTTTTTTCCGTAAAATATTATACCGTATTTTTAAGGTAATATTTGTTTAGTTAGAGTAATTCAGTGATTTTAATGTAATTAAAAATTACGATATATCAGATTTTTTGTTCCGTAAAATGTTCCGGTAAAAATGTATTCCACGGTAAAAAGTAGCAATATCCTGAGTGTCGATACTTTTTACAGTAATTTGATATGCATTTTTTTTTATAGTGTAGAAAATAGAGATATAGCCACAGACTTTTTACTGTTTCTAACTTTCCTTTGTTTTTTGAGTTGCACTCAAAATTAAAAATTCTGAAATTAATAATAATTGTTGAAAATTTTCCAAGAGAATCCAGAGAAAAAATTACGATGATTATCTTAATCAATGATTTATTATCTTAAAATAATTAAGCTTTTCTTCGTAAGAGCATCCTGTTTCATAATAACTTATGAGGAATTTGTGGTTTGTTAGTTCACTCAGCGGTTTCGAATTGTAAGTCGAAATTTCAAGCAGTAATTTTTTAATTCTTTTAAATGCAATTAAAATTTTAGAAAGAATTTCTTACTTTTTTTTTCTTGAAGACTTCCTATTTTAAACAACTTTCACAATAAATTGAAAATCATAATTATTCCAAAAGTGAGTCATGTATTGGATATTTGAACATTTTCTTGTTCTTAACTTCTTTTTCTTCTTTCTCACGGATATTTTTTTTTATTTTGGAGATCGCAATGAAATACTAAGGATAAGATTTATTCCATTTTAGAATTCGTAATCAGTTGCAGGTTTTATATATAAAAAAAGACTCCTTGTTTCTGATCCAAGCTATAGTTTTTACATAAAACCGTAAATTATATGACATGATTTCGTGATGACTCATAGTGTTTTCCGTAATTTTTAAATGTCAAATATTGTATAACTGTTTAATTTAGTTTCAAAATAATGTATTTTTACCTTGCAGAAATTGTATTATTTGTGTGCCCCCGAAATTAGAATAATAGAATATATGAAATAGAAATTATAATAAGTTATTATTTTATATTGATTAATAATGTTATTACGCCTGAAATTCGTTTATATTACACAACAAAATCATTTCTTCATTAATTTTGTACTTCAGAATGCAGCATTTCAGAAGACTAAAAGCTAATTTGAAAAAGGTAAAGTAAGGAGCAAAAGTTCGTTTTTTTTGTTATAACTTATGAATACAGTGATTAAAAAATAATGAGAATTTAAGATAGAGAAGAAAACCACGAAAACTTCTCGTTGTCACATAACAATAATGCACTATTATTTATTTTTGGTCTTCCACTGAATATATTTAATATCAGTAATATAGTAAACGTCAAAAAAGATATGCTATGGATAATATAGAGCCCGTATATTGTTAAATGGATGCCTCATCCCTCTACATAAAAATTCTACCTAATTTTCTAATAAAATAGTTTCTTTCTTAGACCTGACAAAAAATAAACAGCGGAACAAAAATGAATATAAATAATAATCATCATCATAGTTGGCCAGACAGCCCAGTGTGAGCCAATGGCTTCCTTTGAAGATTTCTCCATGACGATTTCCGATTTAAATATAAATAATATCTTAAGAAAAATAAGTGTGAATTTCAGAATATGTAGAATATCTTAGAATATACAGAAACTCCACTCGGAGAAAAAAATTCTGGTAAAATTACCATACTGTATAGTAATATTTCTTACAAAAAACCCCAACAAAATTCAGGTTAATAAAACCAAATTATACGGTACTTAAGCCATTAATTTGGTATCGATTTTCTGCAAATTCTTGTTTTCAAAATTATAGTTCTCATTTCCACACATTTAGTAAAAAATACAAAACTGAAAAGTAAATTTAACCGAATAAAGGGTTTTAATGCCAGGTTCAATGATACCCAGGTAAAAATTACCAAATTTTACCTCATTTATCAAATCATTTACCAAAATCTTCGGTAAGAATTATCAAGCATTTTAGTGTTCCCATAGAGAAAGGAACTAGGTAAATTTTACCATATTCTGGTAGTTTTGACCATACTTTCTTCCCAAGTGACTTGCGAAATTTCTTTTTTCATTAGAAATCGTATTTTTTAAATACTTAGTATTATGAATAATTCTTCCCTACGTTCTGTACTTATAGTGAACCGTTACATGTCTTTGTGCCGTGAAATTTGTGTGTTTTTAAATTTTGACTTAACATGATTTTATGCAGAGCTGCCAACTACTACGTTTTTTGAAAAATATTTTATAGAGTTCTAGACAGTTGAAAACTGCAGCTTTCGAAATTTTCGGTAACTCTGCAGACATTTTAAGAGCCTCACCATGATAGTGCTTGAACAAAATGGCATTTCATCTGAGCTTTTTAATCATTTATGCGCAATGGGAGTGGAAAATAACTTTAAATTAAATTTACAAAACAAAGAAGCATACATCAAAAAATAAACTTAGCTACCACTAGAAGAAATTTTCCCATAAAGCGTTGAAAGTTGGCAGCCCTATATATGTATGTTTTTCAAACATTCACTGTATTTTACTAGTTGTTTCAGTATTTGTCAGAACTGAATTCGTAAAAGTTGTTAGCAATCTTCGTTAAAACCATTCAGGTCCGTGAATTTGTACAGCGATAAGTTTGTGAACGAAAACGTTAAATTCGGAATGAACTCTTTGATTTCATTATGTCAACACATTGTCGGGGATATTGTCAGAGAGCAGCTGGGAGGCTTAACGTGCAGATGGCTACCAGACGCTCCCTTTTTAAGTTGCCTTCACGATTTTACCTATAGAGTTCTTTTTCTATATTGTTCCCCCCTCAGTTTCTACCTTACGAAAAGTGATTTTATATTCCCTACACTGTTTTTTATTCTTCTTTTTTTTTAAAAAAAAATTCATTTCCCCTCTTATCGATTCTTCCGGGGAAATCACTACAAAGCAGTTTTAATAGGGCTTTCGACGAAACTGTGACTTCGCGCAGGTGACTTGCATTTTGCAAGTGTGACTAGGAAGTTACGGAGGATGCATTCAAAGAGGAAATTCAAGTTAAATTTTTATTTAAGTTTTTTTTCCATCATTAAATAAGGTGACAGAAAAGGAAGCTTTTTTAAAAAAAAATTTGGAAAAATTGCTTACTACCCTTTAGGTTGGAATTCCTTCTAAATCAAGTGTGTCCTTATTTCAGTTTTTAGCTCATTTTTTTCAAGTCTTTAGTTTATAAGTTAGTTTTTAGTTCCTTATTTTATTCAGAATTTCGTTTCTAATTTATCCATTTTTAGTTTATTACTATCTATAGTTCACATTTTTTTATTAGTTTAAAGGTGATAAGCAATATTTTAGCAATATTTTATCCAGTTTTTAGTTCATCTTTCAGTTTCTAGTTCCTTCAAAAAATCTTATATGCAAATTCTTTCTGAAGGTTATGACTTCAGATATACAGGAAGTCAAATAATTTCTGCAATTTTTTATTTTTATCACCTAACTTTGCGTTGCCTTTAAAAATGATAGCAGTTTTATTTTCTTTTATTCCTTTCTTAATTATATATATACTTGACAGTCCT